TTGTTAAAGACTTTAGTACTTTGGTTGCACCTCTTAATGAATTAGTCAAAAAGCATGTTGAGTTTAAATGGGGTGAAAAACAAGAAAAGACATTTTCTGAACTTAAAGCACAAACTATCTAATGCCTCCATTCTTGCATTACCAAATTTTGCAAAATCTTTTGAAATTGAATGTGATGCATCTAATGTGGGTATTGGGGCTATTTTGCTACAAGAAGGTCATTCAATTGCTTATTTTAGTGAGAAGTTGAATGGGGGTACCCTAAATTATCCCACCTATGATAAGGAATTGTATGCCTTAGTGCGTGCTTTACAAACTTGGCAGCATTACCTTCTACCAAAAGAGTTTGTAATTCATAGTGATCATGAATCTTTGAAATACTTAAAGGAACAAGGTAAGTTAAACAAGAGGCATGTCAAATGGGTTGAGTTCTTGGAGCAATTTCCATATGTCATCAAGCATAAAAAGGGAAAAGGGAATGTAGCAGCTGATGCACTTTCTAGGAGACATGCATTATTTTCTATGCTTGAAACTAAATTGTTTGGTCTTGAATCTTTGAAAGACATGTATGTGAATGATGTAGATTTTGCTGAAACTTTTGTTGCATGTGAAAGGTTTTCTAAAAATGGTTATTTTAGGCATAATGGATTCTTGTTTAAAACAAATAAATTGTGTGTGCCTAAGTGTTCCATTAGAGAGTTGCTTGTGAGTGAATCACATGAAAGGGGTTTGATGGGTCATTTTGGGGTTCAAAAAACTTTAGAAATTTTGCAAGAACATTTCTTTTGGCCTCATATGAAACGTGATGTGAATAAGTTTTGTGATCACTGCATTGTGTGTAAAAAGACTAAATCTAAGGTTAAGCCTCATGGGTTATATACTCCTTTACCTGTTCCTGAATATCCTTGGACTGACATTTCTATGGACTTTATTTTAGGGCTGCCTAAAACAAAGAATGGAAAGGATTCTGTGTTTGTTGTTGTTGATAGGTTTTCTAAGATGACACATTTCATACCTTGCAAGAAGGTAGATGATGCTTGTCATGTGGCTGATTTGTTTTTCAAGGAAGTAGTAAGACTACATGGGCTGCCGAGGAGCATTGTGAGTGATAGGGATTCAAAATTCCTTAGTCACTTTTGGAGGACATTGTGGGGTAAGATTGGTATTAAATTATTGTTTTCTACTACTTGTCACCCACAAACTGATGGTCAAACTGAGGTAGTCAACAGGACTTTAGGCATATTGCTTAGGACTATTTTAAAGAAAAATCTTAAGACTTGGGAAGCATGTTTACCGCATGTTGAGTTTGCTTATAATCGAGTTATCCATAACACCACTAATTGTTCACCATTTGAGATTGTGTATGGATTTAATCCTTTGACTCCTCTTGATTTGTTGCCTTTGCCTAACATTTCTATGTTTAAGCATGAGGAAGCACTGGCTAATGCAGAATATGTGAAGAAGTTGCACGAGCAAGTAAAAGCTCAAAAGATGAATGAGAGCTACGTGAGGCAAGCTAACAAGGGTAGGAAAAAGGTGGTGTTCCAACCTGGTGATTGGGTTTGGGTACACATGAGAAAGGAAAGGTTTCCTGAACAAAGAAAGTCTAAACTTCAACCTAGAGGAGATGGGTCATTCCAAGTCTTAGAAAAGATCAATGATAATGCTTATAAGATTGATTTACCAGAAGAGTATAATGTAAGTTCTTTTAATGTTGCTGACTTGACTCCTTTTGATGCAGGAGATGAATTCATAGATTTGAGGACAAATGTTTCCCAAGAAGGAGGGAATGATGTAGACATAAAGGCCCAAGCCCATAACGAGAAGGATCAAGACCAAGATCCAATCCAAGACTTAGGTGGACCTATGACAAAAGGCAGACTTAGAAAAGCACAAGAGGCATTGTAACACAAAGTGACCAATTTGCTAAAGACTCAACTATTAAAAGCTCCAAACATGGAGGAGTCTAACCTTATCACATACATAGAATGTTTGGAGAGCATGGAAGAGTCTAGCCTTATCACATACATAGAATGTTTGGAGAGCTAGGAGGTCCAGCTAAAAGATTTAGTTATTATTTTTATTATTATTTGCTACAGTGGGGATTTGAACCCAAGACCCAAAGCTTATAATGTCTTCACTGAACCATCAAGACAACTTAACTTTGCTATTAAACATTTGAAAATTCAGAATAAACGTACGTAATATTCAGAATCACTTTGTGAGTTGTTGCTATGCTTGGGTTCTTCCTTGCATCACTTGATCTTATCAAGAATTATCCAATTCTTGTGGTGATCCTTCTTGGCTTATCAAATATTCTTATTTGTGGCGCCTACGGTATCCTTTATGTTTTTCTGTTTTCTATTTCCAATCAAATCAACTCTTAAAACCTAACCCTAAATTGTTTTCCTTCTATTCTACTGTCGTCAAATCATTTCTCAAAGAAAATATGCTATTGATATTATGAAGGAGACAGGTTTAACAAATTATAAGCCCATTGATACCCCTATGGACCCTAATTGACGAGAGATAAAGGAAAAAAGTTGTCAGATCCAAAAAGATACATGAGATTAGTTGGTAAACTCATTTATCTTACTATTACTAGATCATATATTTCTTATACAGTTGGAGTAGTTAGCCAATTCATGCAAAATCCTTGTGCCGATCACTGAGATGCCTTGATTCGCATTTTGAGATATGTTAAAAGGGGCCTAGGACAAGGATTGTGATATAAAGATAAAGGTAATACTTAAATTCTAGGTTATTGTGATGCAGACTGGGTTGGTTGTCCTATTGGATTTACTACTAAGTATTGTATCTTTATTGGAGGGTATTTGATTTCTTGGAAGAATAAAAAGCAAAATGAAAGCTCGATCTAATGCAAAAACTGAGTATAGATCTATGGCACTTGCTACATGTGAACTTGTGTGGATCAAACAACTCCTTCAAGAAATAAAATTCTGTGATAATGGGCAGATAAAGTTGTTTTGTGATAATCAAGCAGCTCTCTATATTACCTCCAACCTAGTGTTTCATGAAAAAACAAAGCATATCGAGATTGATTGTCACTTTGTTAGAGAAAAGTTATTGTCTAACGAACTTGTAACTAAATTTGTAAACTCCAATAAGCAACTAGTAGATATTTTAACTAAGTTCTTGAGAGGACCTAGGATTCAATTCATTTGCTCCAAGCTTGATGCATATAATCTATATGCTGGAGCTTGAGGGGGAGTATTGAGTCATATTGTTTATCTATTTTTTCGTATTCTCTTTGTATGTTCCTTGGACTAGGGTTAAGGGTTTGGGTTTGAGGCTCATATCATCTCTCGTTATATCTCTTTTTCTATAAATACAATTGTAATAGTGCCTTTAGACACTATATTAAACTCTAAATAAGTTTTCTCAAGTTATGTGTTAATTGCTTGAGAAAATGTCTAATTATATGTTATTTAAATTAGTTTTTAAGAGGTTTTTTGTTATGTTAGTTTTAAAAATATTGTTTAGAAAAGAGTAAAATATAATACATTATTGTTTAAATTTAGGATGTTTCAATTAAAATATTGTTAATATTTGATATTTTATTATATTTTTGCTTTTTATATGTGAAGTAGATGAATAAAATATTGTTGAAACTCCTCCAAATTGGTATTTAGAGTAATCATTCTAACACTCTCGCAAGTTGTTCCTTCACACTTCGATGGAGAATAATACAACCTATTGACGGTAAGAATGATGTCTTATTTAGAGATTGAATTTATGGGAAAATGTGAAATATGACATTATTCATCCGCTACTTAAAAATAAAAGGGAAAGAAAAATGGGGAGGACAAACATGGAGTCATGTTTGTTTGATAATATTTTACAAATGATCATCACCAGAATTATGATCCTAAGGTTACCCAAAGAAATTTGGGACAATTGGAAGGATAATATGAACGGATTGAAAAAATTTGAGACATGAAAGTGCTAAATTTGATAAGAAAATTTGAACTACAAAAGATGAAAGAGTTCTAAATAATTAAGGAATACTCAAACAAATTATAAGGTATTGTCAGCAAGATAAAGTTATTAGGCAAGGAGTTTCCTAATTCCAAACTATTTGAGAAATTTTTGGTAATGATTTGCAAAAGATACGAAGCATTTATTGTTTCGTTGGAACACACAAAAGATTTGTCTAAGATTATTAAGACAGAAATGTTACATGCATTGCAAGTACAACAACAATGAAGATTGATGACAAAAGATCATGTTGTCAAAAGTGCTTAACTAGATTGTATTGTCGAAGGGGTTTTCAAGTTAAGAACTACAAAGGAAGCAAATATATGTTTCTAAGATTAATCAAAATCTGTTAAGTGTTACTTAATTATTAGAAAAAAGTTATAATATTTCTTTTAAACACAAACTTTGTATAATTAAATATGCAACCATTATAGAAGTATTCAAAGTTCATATTGGAGATCTCAGATTAATTAGAGATATAACCAAATTATAGTATATAAATGAGGTGCAAACCTCACTATAAAAGCAAAGTTTGTAGGATGAGTTAGGCTCATATCCACTTTCTAAGAATTCTTATTAATTTATTTGTACCTATGTTTTCTAGCTCAGACTTCTACTCCTTGACCTTCCATCTACTATGTTCTTATCATTATAAATAAGATACTATGTTAGAGGTGTGATTAAGTCCTCTAAAATCTTTTTTTTTGGTCAATTTCATTTTAAAAAAAATATTGTTTCGATAAAGAGAAAAATATATTAAAATATTATTTAGTATTTGATATTTTGTTATATATATTTTTTTCATAGAGTATGTGAATAAAATATTATTGGAACTCTTACACATAATATATCTTTTATCTTTCTAAATGTAAAAACCAATATTTATTTATGGGACACCATGAGGATACGAAAAGCCGGTTATTTATTGTACCAATATGGGATTAGTACATTAAATAAACAGTGATACGAAAAAATAGTACTTAAAAAGATTTTGTACATACCCCTTCCGACACGAGTATTGGCATTTATGTTAGGATCACGAGCATCTCGATGTTCTGCAGCATTTTTAACTTCTTTTGAAGAAAGGTGTTCATCTGCTGAATCAAATTTGCCCAAGCTCTCATTTGTTGAATTTTGGGAGTTAGCAGGGATGGCAATAGCTTTATCGTCTGGTAAAGCTATAGCTTCGGGATGTTCAGTGGCCTCATTAATTGACTTCACAGAACCAGCACCATTAGGATCAGTTTCTACAGGAGAAGATTGTGACAACCCAAAAGGTAAGATTTCTTCCACTTCAGTTTGAGACAATAGAGCAGTATGCATATGACCTGTGGGGTTTCTGCTACTAGACCCCTGTGAAAGCAGGTTTTTATTTCCTGTCGCATTGATCAAGCTATCAGGAAGACTAACTTCGGCTGATGTAATGTCAGATCCGGAGCTAGTAAAGCAGATGCTATCTGGTGGTGATACCCATCCCTTGTCTTCTAAACAAAGGCGAGAAAAGACTCTAAAATCATCAGTTTTATCATCTTCAGACCTAGAGAGACTCTCCCCTTCTTTACCGTCAAATTCAACAGCATCACCACCCCCAACATCTGATCTTGACAAAGTAGTATCCGCTAATTTTACTTCTTGACTTTCTCCTATTCCTTCAAGCGCCTACAGAGCACATGGAGATTTCAAACTATAAACAAAAGAATTGACTGAGGCATGGGCTGTTTATTATATATATATATATATATATATATATATATATATATATATATATATAGAGAGAGAGAGAGAGAGAGAGAGATTAAAATTATCATGGCTGAATATGGAGAAAGGCCATATTTCCGTCATATTATAGTTAAATAGATAACTAGAAACTAGATATAGATAATAAGAGAGAGAACAATAATAGCTTGAAACTGTCAAATTACTTTATGCAGATTGCCGGCATGGACATTAGCAGTTCTTGCTAGCCTAGTCAACAATGAATAAAGTCCCTTCACAGCTAACATCAAAGAGGGTACCAAGGGCTTAAAGGTCTGACAAGCCTCCCTGATTCTTAAACAATATGATTGATATATAGCTTGTCCATGGATGTTTGATATTTCCTTCTTGGTCTCACTTTCCCTATCTATTGCATCAGCCATGGCAGTTACATCCTTAGACAGCACCGATTCAAGAGGAAACAGGATGGCATTTGCCTACCAGAAACAAGAAAACCACCAAAGTACAAAATTGGCCTTAGGGAAGCTTAATATCAGGAAATATAGAATTGACAGTCATAGGCAAAGCCTAAAGGTCAACATTTTCCAAAATGAGATACAAGGGTTAAATAAACCTTTGAAAGGCCTTCCATAAGAGAAAGATGGATAGCAGCTGCCTCTTTCCCCAAACTGTAAACATCATGTATATCTTCAGTTATTGCTAAAACCTACAACAGCGAAGCAACAGTTGGTTACAAAAAAATTGTAGGAAGAGGACATAATGGTAATTACTGGAACACATAGTAAATTATTTGTAAATATGTAGATTATTTGTATATAAAATGTTGTGACAGTAATCACATATTCATATTAAGCAACAGTAGATCTGGTGATGAGGAACATAATCCATTCTTCAAAATACATTAAAATCCTAATGAATTAGGATTATTGTGGGAGTGGGAGGGGTCAGTAATTTATTTACCATTACTTTGTTCACAAGTTGGGTTTGCCTATTTCAAGATTACTAAGCATGATCCATGGAGCCAGAAGATTTTGAAAGAAGTTCATCAAATTACATCCATGTTATTTGATCTATGAACAACTTGGGTCTTGTTAAGCTTATAATTTAAAAGACCAGATGCAATGCATAACTTCATTAACCGAAAATGCTTTTGCCTACTAACAAACTACCAGTTCCAAAATTGTCTATGTAGAACCTTGTGCAAAATACATGCCTTAGGGCATCAATACAAATATCAAATTCCATGAACCATCTCGAGTAATTTGTTAAAAATTATACTTCACATTAACATATTGACAATGCTGAAATTTGGACACTACCTCTTCAAGCATAGAACCACTTTCTGAAGTTAGAGCAGTATGGATCCTTGAAACCCGAGCAAAAGCAGACAGTGCAACACTAGCCTCATATGCACAATCCCTCATTGAAAGAACTGTGTTTTGTAAATCACCTATGAAAAGGTAAAGAAAGTAAATCAACACATAGAACACATAGAAAACATGCAAATGCATGTGTGAAATTTAATCAGTACATGAACAGTAACCAATATGGCAAGTGCTACCTGAAGCTGACTTTGCTTTTAGGGAGGCAATGCAGAGCTCATTGGTTGCAGTATATAATCCATTGGAAGCAGCATCAACAGTGCATTGTGCAAGCTTCCACTCTTGTTCAGTACCTATTACAAGAAAAGGAGAGTACATGCTCACCTTATGCAGAAGTTCAACAAACGGGTGAGTTCAACAACAGAGGAAATAGCAAACTCACGTGTATAAGAATGGAAAGTAACATCTAATCTTGTTAGTGCATTCATGTACACTTGCTGCCATGTCTTGCCATCAACACTACTCCTGAAGGGATACGGTTGGTCTGGTATAAGCAAATACCCATCTCTTGATGCTTCAAACTCTAACACTGATACACACAACTTCACAATGTCAGATGCCTTTTCTCTAGACTCCCATAAAATCTGCCTCCGAGTCTTAATATGGTCATGGAACTCAGTAGGAATTCCTGAATTTTTTGTTGAAGTATTTCCGGAATTACTGGAATTGGGACCCCCACAAGCCCAAGCCATTGCTCTCTCAAGCTGTCCTTCAGCTATAAGAGAATTTTGCTCACAAGACTGAAGACAATCCATTGATGTCGTGATTTTTGACACAGCAGATTGTACATTGTCCAGTAATTTAGGTCGGCTGAGATTTAAAATGATTGTATACAAGCTGTCATCAGTATCTAGATGCTTCTCAAATCTGATTCTTCTGTTATATGTTGGGTTCAAACTAACATCATGCATCCATTCCATCTGAACTACCTCAAGGGCAGTTTTTCGAAGAGCTTCCTTCAACTCATTGACTTGTTTTTTCATGAGAGAAGCAGTTGATTTTGCTGCTCTAGCAGTTTCATGTGCATTACAATATTCTTCAAGCATAAATAAAACCTTTTTCACAGCCCCATCCTTTTTCACCTGGTCTAAAGCAAGTTCCTTTGATGACTCTGTAAGTTGCTTCAAGTACTCATTTTCTTTATCTAAACAAGTCAGTAAACTAGGAGCAACTCTTTCTTTCAAATACTGACCAATGTGTTTCTGAAGTTGGATTTCAAGCTTTTTCTTCATAAAATTGAATGATTGGTCAAAGCCTAGATTTTGCTCAACTGATGAAGCTACATCATGTATGCATGCATCAAGAAAAGAATCTATGACGCCTATTTTCCAAATAAAGAAGGAATGGTTATCCAATAGACCTCCAACTTTCCAGACATATTCAGATATAGAATTCCCAGAGTTTATAAAATCTGTCAGAGTATGAAATTGACTTGAGGGCATGGCAACTGAACCATCAGCAGAAGACAGCATAATATCAATGGATTCCAAATCCAAGAAAGGCTTAACAAGTGAAGCCAATAGTGCTTTGCTTCTCATAATGTGTAGCTCTCTTTCTTCTTCCACACCAACGAGAGATTGAAATTGACAATTCACAGAAACCAGGGCATTTTTAATGTCAGTTTCTCTCTTAATAAGAGAAGAAGTCCTTACATCCCTTTGATTCCAAGTTTGATGAAGTTGGTCCAGTTGTGCTCTACAAGCTTCCTCTTGGGATGCAAGTTCCTCAGCCTCTTCCCATGAAAGATGATCTCTGCCCTTAACTGCAGCTTCTTCAAGGGCCAGCTGTTGCTCAGTAATAAGACCAACCTTAAAAAAATAATTCTGTTCAAGTTCAATCAGTGATGCTCTCTCCATTTCAACATCCACAAGCTGCTCCAGTGCAGTTTCTATAGACCCTCGAACTTGTGAGATCAATCCAAATGCATCCATAACCTCTGAATTTAATGAAACAGCCGCTCGTATTACATTTGGCAGAACAACTTCTGTCATTTGACTAACCAATCCCTTACAGGAAATCAAAATGATTCTGAAAATGGAAACCCAATTACATTCAGAAGAAATCTTCGTACAAACTTTGTTAATATCAACAGAAGGGATGTCCTTCCCAATATATTCGCATAGATCATGAACAAATTCTGTCACAAGATTACATTTTTCTACTTGTTCTTCAAACTCAGCAAAAATAGTTCCAGAATCATTCTGCAACATATTGTATTGATTTCTTCCTACCGATATATCATTATATATATTTAGTATTCTGTTTTTAACCTCATTGTAAAATGAACTCACAGCAATATTCAGAATCGATAATGCCTTCTCCCTCTCCTCTTCTAGCTTGCCTAAAGGTCTAGGATTGTTCGTCTCATCATATTTAGATGGAACAGAAGACAAACCAACTTCCTTCCTTAAAAGACCAATGGACTGCATGAATTTCATAAAAGCATATAAAAGACGATCCTTAGTTTTTGATTCTGATTCGGAGCCAATAGAACTCTCTATTTCAGCACACTCTTTTTCTAATTTTTCTATTTCAACTGCATACTTCTCCACTCTGAAACATAGATCATCATGACTGCATTTGATAGTATCACTGTTATCAACATGAAATTTTGCAATAAGTTCAGAAGCCTGCCTTCTGGCAAGAGAGAGAATGTCTGATGACAGGGCGTTGATAGATAGTTGTAGAACTTGTGCCCAGTTATGCACTGCACTGGTTGAAAGGTAATTTAATGGTAGAATTCTTTGCAGAGCCAAGGAGTATGCTTGCAAAGATGTTGTGGCAGAAGTTATTCCATCACCCAACTCAGCTATGAATTGAGAAACTTCCCTATCTATATCATGGCACTGTGCTTGTGTTGGCTCAGGAACAACAGTTAGTGGAACCCCTGCTACAATGACTGCAGATGTAAGAGATAAGACTGCTTCCATGTTATTCAGCTTAAAAGAAGCACTTATTTCTGGGATTAAATTGCACCGTAAAGCATCAAGAATCCTCCCATGCTGCTCAGCCCAAGTCATTGCCTCCTGAGCTTTCTCAGCAACCATAGCCTTAGCTTGGGCAAATTCCCGAGCCTGAATGTCAAAAGAGGCTCGAATTTTTTCTGAATTACTGGTTGCTTCAGCAAGAATCGACTTTGCAGAAGTCTCATGCAATATAAGGCTAGACCTCTCCTGCTCAGCTCGACAGTACAGAGTTGAGGTAAGCTCATATTTGTTTAGAACGTCACCAAACCTCTGGTACATACTTCTCAAAGTTAACCCAAAATAAAAAAAGAAGTCACAATTTAAATGCGGCGAAAAAAGTTCATGGGATGGATTTCATTAATACCTCAAGTGCTGATTCAACAGCTGGCAGGCTAGTCAATAATTGATCATGGTGTTCCTATTCACATATTTAAGGAAGAAAAAAAATCAGTTATTAGTCATTTAAATAGATCTCAGGTAAATATATAAATATGTAGGTAAATTATATGATAACAAATTTCATACTGGATTTTCTAATTGAAGGTTACAAGTTAAAGAATTTAAATACAAAATCAAGATTGCAAATTGATTTCATATACATTAGCAAATTCGCAAATTCTAAAATGTCTCGTGTAATATCCATAAACTACACAAAATACTTGAAACACTAATATTCACGTGCACGCACACATTTATTTTAATGCATCTGCATCCAAAATCAATTACAATTACGTCAGGGTTTGAATACTGCTTATCTAATTATGTTAGACATATACTTGCTAACATAGCATTATGTTCAGTACATACCTGTAAGGGAACCCGAATTTCTTGTACTCGAGACGCGAATAGACTCAAGCTGACAGCCAACTCCATGCCTCTTCTTTCTTCACCACCAATTGCAGCTTCATCATGAAAATCACCACGTGTCCACTCCACAAGTGGATCCCAAACAAATACTTCCAATAACATCAAAAGTATGTCTTTGTTCTTCCTTAGAACACCAATAACTGTCTCACAGTTTGATCTGAAGCTACCCTCTATTCCAGTCAGCCCTAAAGCTGCTTCAATCATTTGGGTCAAACGGAAAGGAACAATCTCTGGAATTTTTAGCCTTTGTCCCTTGTCAAAACACACATTGTAATCAATATGTACAATATCCCCATTACAAAAATCTATAAGAATGTTGTCTAAATGTCTGTCGCCCAGTCCCAAAACATGACCAACCATACTCATTGCAGCAACACTTCCCGAATACCTACGAATTGAAGATGATGATAATAATAACAATAATAATAAAAATAAAAATAAAGCTAACAGCAATGTATCAAAACTATCATAACTTTTTGCCTCTAAGCAAATGTTCATCATATGTGCAGCACAAGATTGGAAGGAAGTACTTTCAAATAGAATAGTCAACAAGACAGAATTTTGTATTTGACAACTAATGATGACAAGGTGCCAAACTTGCTTAACTCCATCACAAAATAAAGGAATAAAGTCTAGGATATATTAGTACATAATAAAAGAACTAAAATCCTTCAAAGTATTAATTAACCTAAATTGTTTTAATGCTTTCTTTGGAAGAGAGAAGAGTAATAGGTTGAATGGAAATAAAGGAGAAACTAAGTACAATTAAAGGTGTTTGATTGAGGAGAGACTGAGATGAGGAGAGAGAGAGAGATGAGGAAAGATGGGAAGAAATAGGTGAGAAATAGTTTCGTGGGTCCTACCACTTTCTAGAATTATTTCTCCTCTTTTCCTCTCCAGTCAAACATATCATTAACTTCATGCCTATTCTCTCAACCAAACAAGGTGTAAATGAAGAACCAAGTTCATTGTTAGTGTGTCACATCTATTTCTGTAGGAACAGATAGTAAAAAAATTCCACAAAAACCAAATCCATATTCAGTAAAAGGCCTTTAACCATTGAATTTAGATGGCACAACCAGAAAATGCACCAGAAAGGTTCAGAAGTTCCTTTAATGTACCTCTTCATTTTTGAGCTGAAAGCTTTATATCCTTCACTAGCACACCATAGCTCCTGGTAAAGAAGATGCCTAGGCACCTCCTTCATGAGATCAAGAAGAACTTTACATTTGACTTCATGAGGCCAGTCCCTCCGGGAAATCACCCTCTTAATGCCTTTCTCTTTAAGTGCAGGTATGATCTTCCCATAAAACATATCACTGGGACGGGGAACAGGTGGAGGAGCTGAGGATTTTGTATTTGTGGAGCCCAATGCCAAAAACTGTGAAAGTTGGACACGAGTTTGCCAAGATTTAAATACACTGTAAATACTCACTACATTGCCCACCCACTGGATTAGGCCAGCCCGACCACTGATTGGAGTCACAGAATAATAGCGAATGCTAAGGGAATTGCTACAAGCAGAAGATGAAGAATGCAGAAAACCATTTATAGCTTGCAATAATTGCATGATTCTAGCATCAAGGCGCAAATCTTCTCGTCCTTTGAGGAGATATGTGTATTTCTGACCATCTGAACCAAGTATACCTAGTTTCTTAGGCTTTGTCTTTGTTGATAATATGGTGACTTGCTCATGAAAAGAAGCAATTGTGACAACCCCTTGGAGATCAGTTGCTTTGTTAGAGTCAGATACTTGCATTTGTTTCTCAAGACCTGGCATTGGAACATCTGAAGATGATAACAAAGCTAAATTTGGTGCAACTTCTCCCAAGGAAACTGAAGACTTCCTCTGATAAGAGGCCAAGGATGCAGCAATACTATCAAAAGGTCGCCACACATCACCAATAGCTGCAGAAGATGTCGGAGGAATTTTAAAGGATACTATGGCAGATTTCAGTAGGTCTTTATACTCTTCCTGGAACCAAGCTTCATGAGGAGTCTCAGGTTTCCGAGATGTCGAAGCTAATCGACGCTCCAAAGCCACAACTATTGGAGCCATCATTGCAGAATATCGGGCAGAATTTATCTTGTTCTTCTCATTCTGACTAAGTGTGACATTTTCTGAAATTCTTGCAGCCTCTTCTTTCAGCACATTTATCCGTCTCATCACATCTGCAACAAAATATGGTTAGCCACATTTCACTTCACCTAATTATGCAATTACAAGAAATCTCATGCACCATCCTCAAATTTTAAAATAGTTACAATTATCCAGTTCAATTCAATGAAATGGATCTCATGATCAACAAAATATTGGGAAAAATGATCAGCAACCTGTGTGAAGATCCTGAAGAGTACTCAGCCATAACTCCTCCCAAAGTACAGTAACATTTCCAAGTTCATTTATCATCAGCTGAACATCCTGAACCAATCGGGGGTACAGTTCTCTCTGCATGAAACAAGTAAATTTTAATCATCCTATATAGTACACAGGACAAGCAAGTTAACACAAGATAAGTAAAAAAGCAATAGCAATAATAGAAGCCTTGGTCAAATTCATGAGCACATCACATCATGTCTGAACAAATATACCAGATCAAACTAATGAGTAGCCATCAAGATGCTTATTATGCTGAATATTAGTTTAATATGTATTTGTCCATCCAAAGGATAATACAAACATTAGAACTACTAAAATATCAAACAGACATCAGAATTGGAACTACTAAATCTCTGAAAAGATTAATTGACGAGTGACCACACTTTACTGTTTTAAAACTCAGACGTGAGAATTAGTTGCATGTTGAGAATTTTGATGCCTAATTATCCACATGGTGTGGAGAGCATATTTGTAGTAAAAAGAATATATAAGCTAGAAATGCACAGAAATTTTCATTTACCAGACAACCCAGCACATGATGAAGCTCTTCTGAAGGTTTCTCTTCATATGCATTAACATCAACTAGTGTTGGGTATACTATAGAATAGGGAGATCGCTTCGCCAGCATGGTTAGTAAGCCCTCCAACTGCTTTCGAATCACTTGTTCAGGATGTGAACTTATACGTGCAAACAGTTGAGGTGTAACCTCCTACAAAGACAATTCCAGTAACATTTCAGTAAACTCTCTTCCCCGTGAAACAGGAAGAAGTTAAAGTAAAAATCTGAGATCTAACATGCAACCTGCCATGGCAACAAAGGAACACCAAGAAGTGCATATTCAAGAGTATCTTTCAATTCTACACCATAATTGAGAAGTATATGCAATATATATAATGTGGCCTTCAGGGTGTAGCTGCCAGTTTTTTGCTTCAAAGCCTCATATTCAGAACCAGGCACCTGACTATGGCAAATACGGGAAGAAGAATAAGAAAGATACTGTATGTAACCATGAGCAGCATGTCCAAACAGGGACACTCTCCTCCTCCTCAAAGACCACCAAATATTAACAAAATCATCCAATATAGATTTTATGTCAGATTCTCCCAGCCCAAAATTTGTGCTTAACAAACAAATCCTCAATTGAGAAGATACCATGTCTGAAAGACATTCACCACCACCAGAGATTTCTGCGCCCAATGCTCCTGAGGCAGTTTCTATTATATTCACTATATTCCAAACCAATGTCTGCAGAGAACTGTCATTACTTGAGTGCTCCGCAGAATCAAGCCAAGAGCTTTGCTCTTCCAGTTCATTTGTGAAACCTTTCTTATCAATATTGTCCTGTAAAAGACACAGAACCAATAACTTAATTCTTTGCACCTCGTCCTTAGTCAACTTGAATCTCTCAGGTAAAATTTCTGGTACAAGTATGGAAGAAAATGAGCATGAATGGAGGATAGTTTCACTCTGAACAAGGAGTGAGTCTCTGGCTTGCTTAAAGCACCAAGAAGCATAAGAAATCCATGACTTGCCCATGGTGGGGCAAATACAAGAAGACAATTTTGCTGTTGTACCAACAATTTCCTCAATAATAGAACCCAAATTCAATTTACAACTTATATTTTCTTCACTGCCATCTTTGCCAAGTGGAGTTGATTCAGCCAAATTAAAATCTGCTGGCATCTTGAGAACAATACTCTCTGGACTCCAGTCTGAATAATCTCGTGTCAGCCAATCTGCAAGTTTCAAGCATGCTTTGGCCTTCAGAATCCTCTCTTCAGCATCAGATATGCTAGATGTTGAAGAAACCATGCAAGGACGCAAATATGACCAAAGGTTTGTGAAAGCCTCTTCAAACTTGTTTTCAGCGTACTGTAGTAAAATGCTCTCATACTGCAAGTTTAAGACCAGAAGATTGCGATGCCTCTCCTCAGGGCAAGCAGATACATGATCTTTGATGTAGTCATTCAGACGATTTGCCAACAAAAGATTATTTTGCTTGCGGGCTAAATTATGCAAATTCATGCAGAACTTTAGAGTAACTAGAGAACATGGGGAAATGGTTTGATAAACCCGAAGAACTTTCAGCCATGGATTACAATCTTGACAGATTTTACTAATGGAAGATGGCAGTGATTTAAGAGAATATAGTACTGATGGTAGCTGTTTGGCTTTCTCATGAGTTGTTTTAAGCTTGCAATTCTCTTCTACAAGAAAAATGCAGTGCAACTGAATCGCAAGAGGTGATGCTTCAGCCAAGCCATCAAGTGGCAAAACGGAAAGTGGTTCCTCCAACATTGACCTTGCTTTCTGCAGATAATGTAGTACCTTATCACTTTTTTCCTCTTTCTGGAAGAGCAATGATTGCAGAAGCATCTGCTCACTCCGTTGCAAGGCTAATTTTGGATCAAGGGTAAGCTCACTGTTGCTTTTAGGTGTCAAATCAAGGCTTGACCATGCAGCCTGATAATCACCCTCATCAAAACGTGCTAATGCATGAATTGCATTAATTTCATTGCCAGCAATTGTCAGAGCACCAGAATAACTTCTACCAGTATGTTTAGCACGAAGCAGTTGCAACTCTAATAGCCAGGTTTCAAGAGATCTCCAATCAGATACAGCCACATAACTCTCAATTATGCGTGCTATGACAAACTGTATACCATCAGAGCCGAGGGAGCTGAGTGACTCTTCGGCCTGTAGCAAGTGTGTAAAGTGAGCTGCAGCATTTTCATACTCACCTCTTGCCTGATATATAAGCCCATTTATCCAAGAAAGGGTTCCAACAGTTCCACCCTCATTGAAGGACTGGTTTTCGTCCCCGAGTAAGGAGGAGAAGGAAATGGAAACCCATTTTTGCAGGCCAATCAAAGATTCTGAATCAGAACTCTTACAAAGAGCCAGTGAAACATGTCTTAAAACTTTTAAGACATCTCCTCTACACCTTACTCTAATATTGTGAAGGTTATCAGTTACCTGAGCCCTAGATTTTTCCTTCAAAACTGACACAGAAAGATTCTTTAGCTCCTGCAAACGCAGTGTACAATATTGAATAACAGCATCATTGCAATGTACAGCCAATCCAGCATTCATCATTGGCTCGCAAATACGAGAAAACCAATCCTCACATACTTTTTTGTTTGCCCGAAAAAATAAAGTACTTTGACGAGTGGCAGGTGGTAATATGACAGACCCCTCGTATGCATTATATACATTTTTCTTCAGAGCCTCCACAAAATTCAACAATAATCTCATTGGTAGCAAGTGAGCACCAGAAGACCCTATCATACTCAAGTTCCCATCGCTTTGCTCATTATCAAGTTGTAAAAGGTGTGCAATGTCCAAAAGCATACGTTCTAGAGCAGCAAATGTTTGGGTCGGGCCACCAAGGTTAGTCCGCAGTCTTGTAGCAATACAATACCGGGCTCCTTCTTGTATAGCCCACCAGGCACCAGCTAAATTGTTGACAGAACAGATTTTTTCAAGTAAGTCTTCATCCACTCTTATATCCAACCATGGAGAATTAGCACCAAAAACTCCTGTATCTTCAGGCAGACTTAAAATAGCATCCTTTGAACTCTGGCAACTATGAATGAGCCGCTGGATCCAAGAAGAAAGAGGTACCTTCCATCTTTGTGAAATGTAACTTAAGATCGATACCAGATGTTGGGAGTGAAGTTGCAGTGGCAACTGCTTCAAGGCAAATAATTGTTTCCAGTGCATCTTAGAACTGTTGCCTAACACAGGGTCCACAGGCCTAAATCTTCCATAATCATAGAGACCACATGTATATACAGTAGTAGGCAATATATGGGCAAGAAGTCTCACATATGCATCCCGAATTTCTATATTTGGATCCCCAAGTTTCTCCAGTATGACTTCAGCTAAGGGATAAAAACACACAGGATGCAAAAGTTTTGCTTGCATAAACATCTCCAAAGTTATTGCAACATGTGACCTTACTTCCTGTTCCTTCTCAAATGTACCACCTAAAAGTGAAAAAACTAAGTTCATAATTACACCAGCATACTCGCATGCTCCATAGGAAAAACCAATCAAGCTTGAGATCTTATTAACAACCATTACACTCTCACAGAACTTTTGTCCCCAATCTAGAGCAACCAATTTAATTGCCAGAGGAGAAGAAACATGAAAGGCTTTTACAAGTAACTTGCTATACTTCCCCAAATGCTCAGTAATTACAGCCAAATTCCAATCACTGAATTGATCATCACTGTCCTCCTTTTTAGTTGGACACTCGACATAAGAGTTCTCACAATTTTGTTCTCTCACAGAACACTTAATTAAGAACTCAACTGAATTTAGCCTCTCCAGTGTCTTGACAACAGTGATCTGCAACTCCATGAAAGCCTGGATAGGTAATTCAAAAGGATTCATCTCTTTTGTTATAAAGGACACCAACTTTTCTGACCTCCTAAGATACAAGGAAGCAACATCCTTTTGCCCAATTAAACTGTTATCCCCGCCCGTGGAAATGCACGCCAATAAAACTTTCAAATCAAACTTGATTAACGCCAATAATTCAGCTTTTGAAAATGTTTTAGTATCTACAACACAATTGAACTCATCTGAGTGACCAGTGTTGTTTCCTATTAAACTCTTCAAAAGCTCCAGTTCCTCAATCAACAAGGCTACTGCTTCATCAACAACTTCGGTATTCCCATGCTGAAGCAAGAAAACATAAGTAGCTGCAGAGCTCCCTGTTACCAAATGATTTGGATGCAACCGCAGCTGAGAGATCCATGCATCAAACTTCAACAACTTCTTCACGGACAATGGAAGGAGGCCAAGCTTTTGCAACGACAACAACTGAAGATTAGTCTTCAAAACCCCGTGAACTTGGAAGGAGCTAATTTTCCTAAACCCTGGCCGCTGCAACGTCACTCCAAACTCCAAGCTCTGAAACAAGATATCAACAGCAAGAGGATAAAAACTTGAGAATCGCTCCCGTAAAATCTCAGCCAAAAGAGTCAAACACTTCCAAGAATCCTCAATCCACTCAGACCACCCAAATTTCTGCCCAATCATAGACAAACACCGCAGCAATCTTGGCAGCAGGGTGCTAAGCGGCTCATATATCTTTTCAAGCAGGTTCATCTCCAGTAACCCCGAGGCAGTCGACTGCAAAATAGTGGAAAAACAAGAAAGCAGAGCGAGAAGCCGCCGAAACTGCTGCGGCGTGCCCGGCGTTCCATCATGAAGCAAAACCTCCATGTCCCCCAAGAACTTAGTTAGTAATCTCAAGGACATGGGAAGATTACCAACCCAATGCTTCTGAAACTGCAAGAAGCTATCCAAAATAACACGCCTATCCGATTGAGCTAAATCCGGCACCAACGCCCAACCGAGAAGCAAGTCAACAATGTCAGGGAAATGAGGCTGAAAGCACCTCAAAAACTTCAACGATATCAAAGTAATAACACCAATAAGCCTATGCAACAGAGCCAGAGAGGTTCTCTCATCCTCAAGCAACACCTGACACGCTTTCAGAATAGGCAAAGCATACCTGTCAGTTCCACCGACGTTGAGGAACTCGCGGAGGCCTTCGAGCGCGAGTTCCTTTGTGCCGTCAACAGCGACTGCGGTGTTGAGTGACGGCAACGCCCAGCCGATGAAGCGGTCGACGAGCATGAGGAGGTTCTGTCTGCCATTGGAGGCGACGGGGATTGGAGCAGCGACAGGGATTGAAGCGACGACGGCACAGAGCGCGCCGTAGGCTGTGACCGCGGCCTGGCGCACCTCGTAGCATCTGTAGGAAAATCGAAGTTAGTTGAAAAAGAAAGTGTAGCGTGAGTGAAGTAATGTCGAAATTAGGTAAAGCACGAAATGAAGTGAAATGAGTTAGTTACTTGTCAGAGAGGAGTTGGGACAAGGCCTGGGTGAGGAAAGTGGCGGAGTGAGAGAGGAGGAGGGAGTTGTGAGGATGTAGGATGGCGCGGTGGAGGGAGTGGATCGCGGCGAGGCGAGGAGAGGGGTCGTCGTCGGAATCATCCTTTGGGAGGGCCGCGGAGACGAGTGCAGCGAGGTGTTGGTGTTGGTGAATTCCTTGCATCACTGCGTCTCATTTCATTGCTTCCTGCTTTCCCACTTCCTCTGTACCTCTTCCCAAATTTGTTTTTCTTTTGGTTAATAAAGCATGAGGAACACTTACAAATAAAATAAATTTCAATCTTTTCTTTAATATTTATAATTGTTTTAGTTTATGAACTTGCCTGACTAAAAACATTTACTTTAACAACATACTTTAGTGTATTTATATAACTTATCATCCGTTTGTTTCAACAAGTTTGGAAATCAATATATTATTTTAAAAAATGAATTTTAATTCAATTAGTTTAAAATAAAATAAAAAGATTAAAATTGATTGAAATTTTTAGTAAAATATATAATTTGAAAATACATATATTATTTTTAAAAAATGATCTAATTGAACAGTTTAAAATTGCAAATAAAGATGAACACCAATTGAACTTTTTTAAATATGTGATAACTTTCTTTTAAATCAATTTTTATTTACTTATTTTAAATATTTTATTATTTTTTAAGAATATATAATATTTGTTTATTTTATCAAATTAATCTTGTTAATTTAAAATAATATTTTTTAATTCCAACATGTGATAATAACTTCTTCCCAGTAATTATTTGCTTTTTTAATTATTATATTACTAAGAAATATTATTTTATTAACACTTAAATTTAACTTTTTAATTTTAAACTTATATGTTTACTTGCTCGAATTTAAAAATATTGGTATATAAAAATATATTTTAAAATATTAGATATTTTCAATTCAATTATATGTATATTAATAAGGGTATATTTCTCAATAAATCTTCAATATTATAAAAAATTAAAAATTCTATCGAAAGAAATATATGGTTTATATTTATGTTATATTTTTTTATTTTACATTTTTTTCTCTCTTGAGTGTAACATAATAAAAAAAATCATTTATTATTTATTTTCCCAAATACATGTGTTTTTTTTTTTTTTAAATTTTAATGTATCTCTAAAATCATAATTCAAATGTATAAATGTGTATATATATATAATTTTAATATATTAAAATAAAATAATAAAAAATAAATGAAAAAATAACACTCAAACTTTCTTATATAAACAAAATAAAACACACATATGCTGATAAAAAAATAAATTAATTCAAAACATTAGTGGACCATATTCATACACATTTTAAATGCAAAGATAATACCCAAACTTTGTGTTTATTTTGGTTATATATATAATTTTATTTGTTGAAATAAAAGTATTAAAACTATTTTTATATTTTAAATGTATTTTTCCGTGATAAAAAAATATTTTGTGATAAAGCATTATTGAAATACTGTATTTATGCATTTTATTGTTTTATTTATTATTTGAAAATTAAACATATGAAACTCATTTTACGTTTTTAAGTGAGTTCATCAGACGAGTAAAAAAATTGCATTTATTAATCAAACATGTGCATTGAAAAAGCTCCATAAATTTTTTTCCTTAGTAAATATTCTCTTATAAATATAAGAGACACTATATAAACTATTAAACCATTTATCAAAATAATTTATAATTTATTTATAATTTTTTTTAATTATACAGATAACTTATAAACATCAAATAAATACTTAAATAATTTATTTAAATAAATCCTTTAATTTGTAAAAGGACTTATTAGTTTTTCTTTTCTTTTCTAATTGTTTGAAATTATAAAAGTACTAAAGAGAACTAATTAATTATTTACATTATTGATAGAATATATTATGTAATTAACCATAATTTATCATTGAGATTCATAGATTTAGTTTTATAATTTTCTTGATTTTAACCTATTATTATTTTTTTGTAATATGGTTTATATTACCAATGGTAATAAAATGACGGGGGAGAATTTTCCTTTATGATGTGAGACCTTTAGAATTGAAATTTTTTTTTTCTAGACTTTATTCTGTTATATATATTTTTTTTCTTTTTCTTATATCAACCATTTAAATCAACTCAATTCTATTTTTTTCTTATTGTATCCATTATTCTAGAGATAAGAATGTTTGTTGTAATCAAGTCCATGATAAAAAAAATAAGAATAAAATCGTTACCATAATTTATTAAAAAAATCTAAAAAATAATAACATTTTAAATTGTATTTGGATTTAAAAATTAGTCATGCATAACAAAGATATTAATATCTTACAAAGACGCTTATTCTTATTTAAAAATGTAAAAAAAAAAAGGAATGTCATTTTTTTAAAATATTTATTCTTAGAACAATTATTCTTATTTAAAAATGTAAAAGAAAAATGTTATTTTTTTTAAATATTTATTTCTCTTAAAATCATAAAACAAATAAAGAAAAAGATGAGAGAAAAACATTTAAAAAAAATTATTTTGATTTGACAAAAAATAATCTTACTTTTACGTATTTTAATTAGAATTTCGTAGTTCTTTGAAAAGTTCACGTGTTGATTAAAGTTTTAAATTTTTTTAATATTTTTAAAAGAGATTTTATATTTTATTGTCTTATTTTAAACAGAGTTATAATAAGACAATGCAGCAACATGCTGTTATTTCAAAAGTTTATTTAAAAAAAAATCATACTAGTATTTATATTTCAATTTATTTTAGAAAATATTTATATTTTAATTTATTTCTAAAAAATATTTATTTAAAATAAGACATTATGTTCGTGAGGTTGACAATCCTAAACAATCTTAATAGTACAAGACCGGAAGTCACTAAAATAAAATAAAAATAAAATAAAATAAAATAAAATAAAAGAGAAAGCAAAAGCCATGACTCTCACCCTTCTCGCACCTAAAAGACCTTGCACCAATCCAAAACCATCCCACAACATGAATAACCCTTGTCCCAGAAATCCATACACACTTCACCAGTCAATGACCTAATAAAATCAATTATGCTAAGAAAATCCATATTTAAACGAAAATTTGGCAGCATAGGGAGAATTAACATAAACCTTGGACGAGGTCCTTAAAAGTCCAGGTAAAAAAATTAACAGATATGCATAAATATATAAATATACAGTCCATATTCACATCCAAAGTCGAGCAAAGATTAAATCCTATATCAGGCTGGGAACAAATCAGATCCAAGTCAGGAAACAGAGAATTGAGTATAAGTAAGCAGAAACCTCAAAATAAAATAAAGAAAAAAGAGGATTGAGCTGGGGGAAGAACGCACATCTTCGAACCACACTCCACTCGACCTTGGAGCACGTGGAGGCTAAGGCGCGCGAGAAAATGGGAGTTTGGTGATACATAAATTTAGTTACTATAACATAAATAATTAATTTAAAATTATTTTATTATAATAATAATAATTATTCATTTAGTTACAAAATATTAAATATTTAGAAATTAAATATATATTTTTATTTAATAATAAATTGAGTTATGATAATTAGTTAATTTTAAAAAATATTTGTTAAAAAAATATTTTCAAATAAATATTTAAATTTTTCTTAATTATAATAATAATGTTTCTAATATCTCAACTTTATTTTAGAATATTTAAAAAAAAAAGATAAACATAAGACAAGAAAAAAAATAAAGAGAAAAAAAGAAGAAGAGAAAAACTCATATAAGATGAATTTATTTTCACTTATTGAATCTTGTATATAAATACTAAATAGTTATAATTGAGTAAATAAATTTATAGAGATTCTATTTAAATAATTTTTTTTTAATTATATTATTTATTGGAATGATTCTAACACAATCTTCTCCAACTTTTTTTCTCCCGGGTTCCCTTTACCAAACTTATTTTTCTCCATTTATAGGTACAATTAGGTTAAAATGAAGAAGCAAGGGTAATCTATAAAAATAAACTAGAAATATTTATTTATTAATTAACTTACTAAATTTTTGTCTGTTTTTAATATTTTATCTTTCTTTTTTTTATTTTAAAGAAATATAAAGAAAATAACTATTCCTTCCTTTTTACTTTTCTTAAAAATGTGAAATATTAATAAAGAAAATTATTTTTTACATTTTTTTCATATAATTTTTTCCTTTTTCTTTTTTCTCTTTATTTTTTTGAAATCTTAAAAAGTAAAATATTAAGAAAAATGGTACTATTTTTTATTATTATTACTTTTTAATCCTATTTTCCATTTTTTTATATTTTCAAAATAAATGTTGCTATCTATTATTATTATTATTATTATTATTTATTTTTAATATTTTTTATACCTGTCCAAACGAAATTGGGTGCTGACAATGTCTAATATGCGACATGGGCTGAACTGTTCAAGATTCATTCATACTCCCACAAGGTGCTTCATCATATCATTCGATTGAAGCGAGGCAAGGAGAAATGTCAACAATTGATGTTGAAATTGAGTTATAGTCAACCATGGATGCTACAATTCTTTAATGGATCTATGTGATAATCTCACATGGCCTGTTGTAAATGATTCTTGAACCAGATGCAACAATAATAAAGACATAAAATAGATTGTGTGATATATTCCTGGACAATAAGAATGTTTTGGGTGGTCACCCTTAATCGAGAATTCTCCCATACAAATATGGAAGATTTTTCAAATGTTTTTGCATATTGTCAACGACTTAAAGAGTTGTTAGATAAACTTAAAAACATCGGTGCACCAGTTTTAAATCATCGTCTTGTTCTTCAAATAGTTGTTGGTCTAACTGAGACTTACAATGAAGTTACTACACTCATTCGCAACAACCCTCTCCCACAAATTTATCAAGCCTGTTCCATGCTCACTTTAGAAGAAGTTGGTCTTGTAAAGAAAATTGCAACTTGTGTGGGTTCTGCCATGGTGACTCACGATATTGACGATTCTCAATCTCTCCACAAGATTCACCGCATTCGCCACAACCATGGTGATACGAAGGGCCAAAACCGTAACAATAGTGACAAAAACAATGGAGATAATCAGGGTGGAGGCAGGAGAGGTGGTGGTCACAATAGTGGTTGGCAAAAGCAACAAGCACGACAACACCAATGACTTATTGGACAATGGTCATCGGCATAGATGCCTTGGGCTATTCCACCTTCCTCACCTTG